TCAATTCATACCCTTTGCAATGATGTTACACCAATAAAACATAACCACTAGTGATTATATATATAAAAGGCATTTCTAAAACCACCACAAGGTTCCTGTTCACTTGTAGAAACTTGAACATGTGTGAATTGATTAGTTACACTCATGCATTAGATATGTGCTAGCTTGCTTGGTTAGGTTGACTCAAGCTAAATCAACACGTCTAAACAAATCCATGCCGTATTTCTGAAGACATTGAGACATTCCCATCTACTGAGATGACCTTTGATTAAGTTAGTTCGATAAGAGCCCAACAAACTGGATCTTTGAGGCCAATTTAAAATATTGATATTTGACAGTTAAAGAAATAGGATGAGGATTGATTTCATTTTTTTATAAAGATGTCTTTTTAAAGAATTTTGACAATTTCTTGGCAATCCATCTGATGTCAGTTGTTGAGTAATATCAGTCCGGACCTAAGTGGTGGACAGACAAACATTTCTATCTCTACAGTGAAGCTGAATTTTACACAATACATTTGAAATAAGCTGCCACTTCAAATATGATCAGCCGGCTACATGGAGTCTGTAACGCTGCGAGTTGTTGCCTCAGCAGCTTCCACTTTGTGTTTGTTTGCGCCACTCGGAGTGTTTCAGCCTCAGCTAATTTCACAAGACTGTACCCAGAGAACAGACTGCATCACAGCACTTTGCAGGCCAGGAAAGGTGCTTGAATCCTGGGTAAACATTGTTTAAATAGTCTGACACTTCCACGGAGCATCGAAGCACTTTGCAAGCCAGGAAAGGTGCTTGAATCCTGGGTAGACATTGTTTAAATAGTCTACCACCTTGGTTAGCTGGCTACATGACGCTGCTCTGTTTCACTGTAACATCTGTCAGGTCCACTGGGTGTTGAGGAGTTTCAGAAGGATACATTAAAATGTATCTCATATTTATTTATTGTTTATGATTGTTAAGATGATTATAGTATATCTTGTGGAGGTTTCTTCATTCTTTGCACCACTCTCCTGATGTCTTAATGTTTTAATGTTTATTTCAGACTCTCATTCAGACAGGAAGTGCACACAGCTGTTTGGCAGCCTCACCCTTTAACGCCAACAGTGAGCGATATATACACTTAATAGCATTTTACATATTTTTGGAAGTGAGGACTTAAAACAAAGAGTTTTTAAGTAAGGGGTAAATGTGCGGCGAGGAGTTCTTCTCCCCATAATGACCATGTCGCTGCACATTCACATCCCGCTTATTACACGGCCCGATACTAAACAAACTAACCACTTGACTCCCAATATTAATTGAAGTGATTTTATTGACTTAAAAATTGTCGTATTTCTTCCGCTAAGAACGGCGCGCCAACGGCTGGAACTGCGACAACAACTTTACTAGTCTGTTTATAGTTTCTGATCCACTGACAAGTCCTTAAACACTACAGAGCCCATACCGATCCTTCCCTATGATGCAATGAAGCTGCTTTAATTTAATTTATATTTTTTATTTCAATATATATTTCAAATGGTCATTTTTAAATACGGTGACTATGTGATGTATCCCCCTACAGCTCATGTGGCCCTCAACTTTACGGCTTCTGCAGTCTTAAGACATTTTGTTTTCAATAAATGAATTCCAGTTTGATCTTGTTATAGTTAATGTTTTCTTATTTAATGTATGTTTATCATCTGTCTTTGATCTGGTGTTCCCTGCAGTTGGATGTAAGGACGTGGCGATATCAGAGCTGCAGGAGCAGCTGAGGGACGTGATGTTCTATCTGGAGGCGCAGCAGCAGATCGAGCACCTTCCCCCAGAGGCCCGCAGCGAGATCCAGGAAGGACAGATCAACATAGGGGCTGGCCCGTCAGAAGGCGCCGGAGCAGAGCCCCCATCGAGCCGGGGCAGGAGGGGCCGGGGCAGGAAGAGGAAGTAGGCGGCAGTTAAATCTACTGGAACATGCTAGAATATATCGCCGCCTCTCAGAGTGGACACATGGCTGAGCTTTGTCCTTTTGTGAACGTCTGCTTCATCATTGGTGTTCCCTAGAAAGAGGAAAAAGGACTCATCTCCTGGAAGAAAGATTCAATATTCATATTCCTCCCAACTCCCCATCTAAACTCAATGTAGCTTCCACAGAAAGAGAATGTGGGTGGATGACACGCTCATTAAAGAGACTGCTGCGTGGTTTCCAAATATATTAAACATCCGTGTGATGCAAATATATTCTGCTATACCCAAATCTAAAGAGAGCTACTTTCATTTGTTCCCCGTTGAATACCCTGTTGTAGTACTTCTTGTCATAGACGGCTTTTATATATTTTTTGTTTTCTTTCACATCAGCAAATGTTGTCAAAGAGAAGCAGATGGATGAATGTTTGCTTTGTGTTTAAACAAAATGATCTTTTCCTAAATTTGTACGCTTTTCTTGTCTATTCGGTCAAATGCACACGATTTGGTCTTCAAAAATGATTTCTAAAAAGCTTCCAAAACTAACAGTGAACACTACTCAGGATGACGAAGATAAACAGGAGGAACGTTTGATATGCTTTCTCTGATCTGTCCGGTTGATCGCTGCTGGAAAGTCCGGGGACAGAGCCAGAGCATTCCCACGAACAGGAAGCTCTCTCTGAAAGAGCAGGAATCATGTTTCCCCTGTATCAATCTAGGTCAATGATTCCTAAACAGGTGTATGTTTACCTACCAGTGACTTCCTGTTAATGCAGTAGTCTCGGGCAAACAATTAGACAAGAAACTAATCTGCAGATGAATCTATAATGAGCCATATTTGGCAGCCCCAGTTATAAATGTTTATATAAAAGTGGTTTAAAAGGAGTCAACTATCTCATCATTTAAAAGCTCTTTACTGATAATGCATCGGAAATAACACTCCAATAATGTAAAATGACACGCATAACACTCCAATAATATAAAATGACACGCAGTAGTGGCACTTTGCTTTTAATACTTCCTTAAATTAAGTCTATTTTGCTGCAAATACTTTCAAATGAAAGTAAGATTCTAAGTGCAGGAATGACTTATATTGCAGAACAGCTTTGTATTCCCACTTTGGCTGTTAAGGACAAACTAATCCTCTCGGCACATGTGAGCTTCAGGTTTGGCAACTACTGATCTAGGTCATGTTTTATGTGAGCCTGTACATCTGTCCTGTATACAAAGCACCGATCACAATATATTTTCAAAACATTGGAGTGATCTATATGACCTTAACTACGACGCTGAGCAAGATGTCAGAGATTAGGAGAAGGGTCTGCTTTCACTCTTTTAAAGGATTTCTGCTTGTTCTGGTGACATTCATTCCTTAGTTAAACATTTAAACTTGCTGACTGACTATTCCTGTAAAAGCTTTAGATTGAGCCAAAAGGCCTTCGTTCTGAACTTCGCAATGACAAACTTTGAATTCGCTAATAAAGTTGTTTAAACTCAACCTTGAGAAAAACAATATTCTTCTGAGAACTCTGATAAAAAGAATTCAATATTCTGAGAAATACACTTCTTTGCTTTCTTACAAAGAGCACAATGAGGAAATTGATACCACATATCAATATTCTCATATCTTTTCCAAAAACAAATAAGTATTTCCCAAAATGCTGAATTATTTTACTTGGTAAAATGTGCCAGAGAGTAACTGTCACTTTATATGTAGGTTTGTTTTGATCGTTTTCTTAGTGTATGTGCACAAGCTATAAAAACAATAAACCCTAACTGGACAGGACAATTTCAGTACATCAGGAAATATCTTTAAAAATGTGTTTTTCTTTCATGTTGGCTCTGAAATCATGCTCCAAAGTTCAATAAATGGTTTTCTAAAGTCTTTCATGTTGTTCCGAGGTGAACCACATGCTGTTCAGTTGAAGTAACGTCCTGCAAAACCCGTGAGAACCTTTTATATGTTGAGCTTAAAATAAAAAGAGCTGATCTGCAGCGGTCAGTCGCAAACCTCCACATCTGCGAGGATGCTGTCACGTATGACTAATCCCTCCTCTTCCTACTACAACATTAACAGTTTACTTCCAGCAGCTTGTTGGAGGTAAACTGTGTACACAGGCTGAATGAAGCTGAAACACTGAGAGATGATTAATGCTCAGACTTCATGAGCTTCCTTCTGCAGCTCCCTTTTTCACACCTTCTATACAATCATCCTCACACTCGAGCTTTGTCTGAGCATTTCTCATCTACACATGACAGTCAGCTTTTATGAATGTCAGAGTTAAAACCAAATGCTAGAACGCCTGGTTTTCTTTGTAGCTAGCAACAAGTTTTATTTGTACACATGTATTCGTAGGCAAATGATACAGTATGCAAAAAGCTGCCGCTCCTGTTGGTTCTATAGTTTGATCCAAAGAACGGCCTTACGAAGTCTGTGCTCCCACTCCAACAGCAGTACAGCTCTCATTCACTTTCCATTATTGATTCATCTTTTTGTTACAAAATGATCAAAACTGACATTATTTAAATTGCTTGTTTTATCTTAGAACCCATTTACTTAGAACAACAAATCCTCACATTTGAGAAGCTGGAAGAAACAAATATTTGGCAAATATTTGTATAAGTAGTGGCTGAAGAAATTGATCAGAACAGCAGGTCTACAAGCGACACTTGAAATCTTGTGCACAATTTTGCAAAAACTAGCTTTTGATGTTAAAAATCAACTTGTTGACCCATTACTCTAAACTTCTGGCATGTTTGAATTTGTAGCTGCCGATGTTCCAATGTATTTACTTGGATTTCATCATTCATACAGCGATGGTGAAATGATATAAGTAGCCATACTACAATTCTACCCCAACACCTTTCCCCCCTCTGAAATGTTAAGTAGTTTGTGGACGAGTTTTAAGTACTCAAATAAACTTCAAATGTGACTCGATTGAGTAGATGTACTTAGTGACTTTCCACAACTGAATGAATAGAAAGTGCAGATGAGGAAGTTATAATTATTCACATTTCCTGTTTAACACATAAAACAGACAGAAGAACCACAACATAACCATTAAGCGTGTGCAGCCTGTTACATGTGGTGTTTGTATCTAGTGTCTGATTAATAAAGTTTAGGCTTGGATTTTGAAGTAAGAATTTGATTTCCACATGTAATATAATTTAAAGCAAGAAAGCACTGTTGGCTGTTTGAAAAGGCACATACAGTAGTGGAGGTTTATAGCTGTTGAAGGAACCAATGGGGGTATAACATGTCAGAGCAGAAAGTGGAGAGTATAATGAGAAGAAAAGAGGAAGAAAAAGGAGGAGCCGGCAGTGTGTGAAGGTACGGCAGACAGATAGGAGGGCTCTTCCTGAGTGTGGCTGTTCTCTCTCTGCTTCTCCACTGCCAAGCTATGGACTAAACCTGCACTGATCTCTCTGGAGGAACATTTGACCCACATTTGAAGGTAAGACAATTCTTGTTTCTTGCATGTTTTCACTTCAACTCCTTATTTCCAGTGTCAGTGTGTGCAGCTGAGTGTAATTCAGAAACGGTCTCTGTTCAGTGTGACTCCACACAAAAACTCACTTTTAAAGAGCTTCTCACTTTAAAACGTGTCTCTTTGTGTGTGTGTGTGTGTGTGTGTGTGTGTGTGTTTCAGCTTTAAGTAACTGCACCCTTTTGCAGCCATAACTCACACAGGGCTGGGGGAAGTATAAGCCCACAAGAAACATTTATTTTTTACCCAGCAAACCTCCTCTAAAATGTTTGGTATGCAGCCGGTCCTCTCAGGTCCATGCATGTGAAAGGACAGCAGATACTGAACCTGATACTGTCTCTCCCTCTCTCTCTCTCTCTCTCTCTCTCTCTCTCTCTCTCCCCTGTGAGTTTGCTGAATTCCTTTGTTCTGAAGTAAAGGGGCTTGGACACAGGAGTTTGATACGTTTACCAGAAATGATGCTGCTCTGTGCCAACAATAATATCCGACACATTCACTCGTTTTCTTTGGGATTGGAGCAGTTTTTCCCTATTTGCTACGGCAGGAATATAAACATTTTCCAGTTTGACTGCTACAACGGTTGCATACAGTATGGCACATTTTGTCGCTCAGGGTGTGTAACTGGTAGTTCCTTTTTTTCTGTAACTTACACTACATGCTAAATCAAGAGTAGTGTGAAACCAGCACGATCTCACATGTGTCTGTCATTTATTCATTTGCCAACAGATTGTGAAATAAATAGGGAGTGGAAGTATGTGAATTATTTGGAGATTGAGGATGCGGCTACAACAACTTTATGTCAAAGCAGATGTAATAAAAGATTTTAAGATTGCAAAACTTCAACTGAGAAAACAATCCTCAATTGGGTGCAGTTGCACAGGAAGGGGTTATTTTGCAGTGCAGGCCAGCAACCTTCCTGAATGGATTGCACTTCCTTCTTTTTGCAGGAACATCTCCAAAGTATTATTGCTTGTTTTGAATATCATGTTTGAAAGAGAACAGTAGCTCTGTACCTGGGAAACGGTTTGATATTAACACGTTACATCTCTACGCAAAAGATGCATAAGTCTGATTGTTACGTTCCCTCCTAAACTAGGGGTACAAAGGGAAGTAACAAAACACCAAAATAACCGGGCGAGAGAAAAAGGAGAGGAAACTGTCTACTGAAGCCACAAAGTGAGGTTTTAATGGACAAAAGAAAAAGGGCTCACCAGCCAACGTGCAAAGCAAACTAAAATAAACAATAGGCCTACACAAAAGGTAAACTGGAGCACATCTCCTAACATTTCACAAGAACACAGGCCTCACACAGAGACAGAGACATGCTGCACACAGGCAGCCAGAGGAGAAGGAGAGAGACAACTGCAGCCTTCCTCAGGTCCTTTAAGTAGGCCCTGTTTGGGGATTGGGGGCACCTGAGGGAGAGGCTGCACCTGGAGACAATCGGGGAGAGAGAGAGACACACACACACAAGCACACACACACAAGCACCAACTGCGGCACGTAACACTGATAAAGAAGAAACGTGTGACAGAACCGATGACTGGTAAGTGAGTTCTGATCTACAAGGATATATTATCAGAAACTCTGCTTAGGTATTTGGCTATGACTGCAGTCATTTCAAAACCAAACATTTTCAACTCAAGCTGCATCATCCATTAAATTATGGTTAATTCATGTGTATAAAAAATCAGGAATTAAGCTATTATTTGCCTTCAATTTCGATTAGTCACTGTTATTTTACTCTTCTACAAAGTTGGTTTTCCCCGTCAGAAAAGAGGAAGTAACTGAGAAATGATGCAAACTGTTGCAGCATCCATGCTCTGTATCTGATGCAGCTGTAACTGATAGCATGACTAAGCGCTAATAGCTAACATCTGTCTGTGAGTCCTATAGTGTCAGACTCGATGGAATAGTTAGAGCTGAGATAGATAACAGAAAAAGGAAGGCAGATTGTTTGCAGTGGTAGAAGATTTCAGATCCTTTACTTTACTATTGACAGAAAAGCAACATAATATTCATAACTAAGTTTTAATTTCTGTAAAATCACCTTAAACTAGGTATTGTGCATTTTTTGTATGCTAAAAATGTGCTTTTCTTATATGTATAGGCAGCAGTTCCTATTTAGTAAGTCCACTACGTTGCACCACCTTGTTTCTACAGTAGCCCAAAATGTACGAACACCCCCAAGAAGAGGCCTTTAGAGTGATAATTATACCTGACTGACACTGTATATTCAACACAGGGGTGAGTGAAGGTGTATTTAAGTGGTTGCAATCTGTAAACTCACCACTAGATGCCGTTAAATCCCACACACTGGACCTTAAATTAAAGGTCCCCTATTTTGCAAAATGCCCTTTTTTATGTCTTTTATACATAAATATGTGTCCCCGGTGTGTCAGGTGACTCACAATGTGTCAGAAAATACAACCCTCTCTATTTTCCTCCATACCCACATCTCTAAAAACGGGGGTGCCGATATTACGTAATATCGGAAATGTGGGCTGGCTTTACGCCCACGGCCCTATCAGAAACGTCGCTATCAGAAACAATGCCCGACGTGTTTTGGACGTAATATGGTCTGTGTTTACACTAGCAAGCATCGCTAACACTCAGAGCTAACCTGTACTGGAGAGAGTATGTGTAAAAAAAGCAGGATATAAAAAGGAACTCACCTTAGCCGCTTTCACACCAAGTACTTTGCCGTACTTACTTCCCAGCACTTAGTACCCCCATGGAACTAAGAGCCGATCGCGTTCACACCTATGGTTCACACCAAAATAAGTTCCCTGAGGGAAGATTACGCAAATTAAGACGCTGACGTCACTTCTTCTTCTTCTGCTTTGGGTTTACTGGCAGGCCGCAAACAACTTCACGGCGTATACTGCCACCCGAAGTCCCCGGCCGGAAGTCCCCGGAGTTGGGGACTGGATTCAGTAGAAGCTGCTGGGAAGCCAGTCCCCGGAGTTGGGGTTCCTTCTGAGTAAATCGCCAGAACGCCGACACCTCAGAGTCCTCATCACTCCACCGCTCCCATGTTTTTTTTTGTGTTGCCATAAGTTAGTCTCTCTCCGTTGGTGCACTGGGCTAATGCTAATGTTAATAAGGCTAATGCCAGCAAATACAATGGCGGCTTCACAAAACATTTCAGATTTTTACGGGCCGTGGTTTGCAATTCGCCCAGCCAATTAGAAATTGGAACTTTTTTCTCCCCAGGAAAGTACCACCTCTCTAGCAGGGACTGAAAAGGGGGTAAAAATTCTCATGAACTAAGTTCTCTTTTTGGTGTGAACGCAAAATCCCAGGAACTATCGGAACTAAACGGGAAAAGTACGGGAAAAGTACTCCGGTGTGAAAGCGCCTCTTGTGAAATACTCAAATTACGATACATTCCTCTATTGTTTTTTATTGTAATTATAAAAACCCTTGTGTTTCTATTCACTCTCAAAATAATAATAACATCATTACAGTATTCATAGTTTTTAAATAATATTTGAATATGCTTACTTGTTTCAGTTAAAGGAAAAGATTGATTCGCAAATAAAGCACTTTACCCAAAATATCCAACTACTTTTCATATTAATATTAGAAAAGTATTCCAGCAACAACAAGAAAATTAAATAGTAATTGTACATCATTTAACCAAAACAATGCGCTTAAAGACACTAAAGCAAACTGAGCAATCTGGTGCCACTCAATGTTTTTAAAGCTCGGTTGGATGCTACTCAATCGGAAGCTGTTGGTACCTGTGCATGTGGATAGTTATGTAAATTGTAATCCCTGTAATGCTAATGTATGATGTCCTTTTGTTGTTCTGTTTATGTTTTTAATGTTTCATGTGGAACCTACTTGAGCAGGTCTCCCTTGAAAAAGAGGTCAATGATCTCAATGGGATACAACCTGGATAAATAAAGGTTTGAAATGAAATAAAATGCCTAGTTATTTACAGCTGCTTTATGTCGTCTTTTCTCTGCAGATGAGCGACCAAGAGAGCAGCACGTCCACCTCTCAGACGGAGGGAGAGGTGGAGGGAGAGCTGGATGAAGAGGTGGACACAGAGATGGAGGGTGAAGGAGAAAACGATTCAAAACACAGGGACAGTCCGCCTCTCCAAATGTCCAGCTTCTCCTCCACTCTGCGTGCCGTCATTCGGATCAAACAGAAGTACCAGGTCCTGAAGATGAGGCGTCAGGAGGCGGAGGGGAACGGGGCCCTCACAGGGGCCACAGGGAGGACCAGCCCCAAAATCTTCACCTTCGACGGAACAACCCCTACCGCCTTGTCCGTCCCTCAGAAGAAGAAGAGGAAAAGGAGGAGACGGGTGATGTATCCCAACAGAGGGAGGCGCCGGGCCCCCCCCAAACCGGCGCGCAGCCGAGCCAAATACTGCCTCTACCTGCTCTTCGCCATCGTCTTCGTCCAGGTAAAGGAGCTTAGTACAGACCTCACTTAAATAGCGAAAATAGGGGGTTTGTATGATAATCAACAATGTCATTATTACTTTACATTCCTAATTGGCACAGGGGTAGGGGCCCACATTGTGAGGGTTTCAACAAAAAGTCACTCGGAGACACAAACAGACCAGGGAGACACTCATAATGACCACAAAAGACTACAAAGGGACTAAAACAACTACAAAGAGACACAAAATAACTATGAAGACACACAACATAACTAAAAAGGGGTGCAAAAGATTACAAACACATGAAAAATACCACAACAATTTGCATAATGACTAGAAGGACACACAAAACAACTGCAAACATGTAAAGAACTACCAAAATAACATGTTAAACAGCTACAAAGACACGTAGAACAACTAAAAAAGAGACAAAGAAACTACCGCATGACTATCCCTGGGTGTAAAAATAGACTGAGCTGTTTACATGCTCCGTCATGTCAGCGTTCATTCTCACTACAATATCAGGTCAAACGTGACTCATGCATCGTTACCTATCTTGCGGCACGGTTCAGTCAAGTCCCTCTGAAGTGATTTCACACAGCGCATTCATTCCTTTGTGAGTCATCCTGCCATGACGGTTTCTGACTGTTTTTTTTATCATGTGTATCCATTACTAATAGTTTATTTTGCAGTATCCAACACAAACATTTAGAATTGGTGTGTTTCCTGTTGCTCATGTCAGCTGAGCGGAAACAAACTTAGCCGTAGCTTTTAGAAACGACCTTAACAGATGACAAGGGCTGATTTGTAAAAAGGTAAACAAGTGGACTGGCTTAACATTAGATGAGCATCCTATGACCTCTCTACTGCCTGAATTTACGTTTTCAGTTTAAAAAGTTGCAGTTTGAATGTCATCCAAGTATTGCATCTTTTGCTCTTAATATGTAACTGTTAAAAGTCCATTGTGTGATATTAAAGGTCACCTATTATGCAAAATGCTCTTTTTTATGTCTTTTATACATAAATATGTGTCCTCCCCGGTGTGTAAGGAGACTCACAAAGTGTCAGAAAATACAACCCTCTCTCTTTTCCTCCTTACCCACATCTCTAAAAACGGGGGTACAACGGAGCTGATCCAGATTTGCTGCGGACTTGACGTCATATCTGAAATGCGTGACGTTTTTTGGAAGTAATATGGTCTGTGTTTACATTAGCAAGCATCGCTAACACTCAGAGCTAACGCTGTACTGGAGAGAGTATGTGTAAAGAAGCCAGATATAAAAAGGTACTGTCCTTGCGGTAAACCCGCGCGAGAAAAAGTATTTGAGCTCCTTACTGTTTCAGAAATAATGCTTGATGTGGTTTGGAACATATTATGGCGTTAAATCACGGCAGCGTTTAGCTGAGTTTCTGCCGGTAGACAGCCTTCTCTTCACAGAGCTCACCGCTTGCATGCGGACGCTCCAAAAGGGCGTGGCCAGCAGCAGCTCAGTTACATTTAAAGGGACAGACCCAGAATCAGCACTTTTGTAACAGGGCTGAAATAGAGGGGTATGAGGCATGCTACAATGGGCGATCTGTTTGGTATTTTGAGCAAAAAGATTCAGAGACATGTTTTGTATAGATATGGCACTATAATATATTGTTAAAATATGGGACCTTTAAGGGGGACCTATTATCAGTAATGTAATATTAACATCTCATTTTTATCCAGGTGTACAACGCTATAGAGAACCTCGACGACCACGTTCTCAGGTACGACCTGGAGGGGCTGGACAAGACGCTTAGGCGGGAGGTGTTCGGGCAGCAGGGAGCGGTGGAGGGTCTGCTGTCCCACCTGAAGGAATACCTGTCTACCTACGTCCACAACAAGCCCCTGGTGGTGTCCCTGCACGGCCCCAGCGGAGTGGGAAAAAGCCACTTGGGACGCCTCCTGGCGGGACATTTCCGCTCAGTGGTGGGGGAGACGCTGGTGCTTCAGTACTACGTCCTCCACCACTGCCCCCAGGAGGCAGACGCCCTGCAGTGCGCCCAAGACCTCTCCGCTCTGATCTCGGAGATTGTGGAACGAGCCGAGGAGGAGGAGAAGATCCCGCTCTTCATCTTCGACGAGGCCGAGCACATGCACGGAGAGATCCTGGACGCGCTGCTGCAACTCGTGTCGTCCAAACAATCCAACGAGTATCTGAACGCTATCTACCTGTTCCTGAGCAACCTGGGGCACTCACACATCACCAAACATATGCTGCACAACTCTTCCAGTACTTCTATGGCGAAGTCCGGTCGTCATAGTCACTTTGTAAAAGAGCTGACTCCGATTTTACGCAACACTCTGGAGAAGCTTCACGTGCTGTGGACAGAGGCGGACATCTTACCTTTGGGCCTTTTGGAGAAAGGTCAAGTGATGGAGTGCTTCCTGGATGAAATGACTCGAGAGGGCTTCTACCCGGATCATACCAACATAGAGCGCCTAGCGGGGGAGATTGAATACTACCCTGAGGTAGGGGGACATGAGTACTCCCAGACAGGATGCAAGCAAGTGGTGGCAAAGGTCAACCTGCTGTGAAATGCTCTGCAGGAAGTCTTGGATGTTTCACATTCTTGAAAGCATGAAGAAAATTTGCATGATATGTGGGTGAGGTCTAAGGGTTATGAAACTTGAATGGCAAAACTCGAAAGCCACTGCTTTCAAGAAAATAGCAGAGTGAGAAAATCGCAAAGGGTGTTGAAGATGTTCCCCTCTGTTGTGGGAAATGTGGCGTGAATCCTGTGAAGAGGTTTGAAAACGCCCGGTCATATACAGTTAACAGTCCTCAGAGGGTCAGTTCACCGTGAGAAAAAGCTGGTTTTGACTGAATGAATGTCAGCTCTCACATGTAGTTCGGACATTAATATTCCCCTTAGAATTAATCGTTATAACTTTTATGCTCCCTTACCTTTCGTCTAATGCCATCATCAGATACAAAGTTTACTTTACATAATTCTGTGGCCAAATATTTTTGCAAATGTATTGACGTTTCCATCAGAGCAACTGCACTTGGTGGTCTTACTTCCAATATTCAAAATGATCACCGCAAATTAAGTTTCACTGATTTCTAGTATAATGAAGTTAAAGGTGGGGTAGGTAAGTTTGAGAAACTGGCTCGAGATCGCTAGAATTTGAAAATACACAACCGGAGAAAATCTGCCACTTCCTTACAGAGCCCCTCCTCCAACACACACGAACGCGCACATGACCAATGAGGGCACGAGATAAGTTTGTGCACAGATGGAAGGCTGACAGGCAGGTAGGCCATCCAGTTATTTTAGCCGGGCCGGCTAAAATGATTGGTCGTGCTTTTTACAGTACTACGGCTTCCACAGATGACATTTTTTTATGGATTTTTTGTCAAAGCACTTAAGATATTCATTGCTATCGGGATGTTAAGAGCATTCCATGGAATATAACAAAAAGTGTATCTCGAGCCGGTTTCTCAAACTTACCTACCCTACCTTTAAGGCAGACATCTAAGAGAAGCATTTTCAAAAACCTGAAACAAACATTTCCCTAGAGGTAATTGAAAATGACTTCTTTATTATGTAGGAACTGACCCTTTGCATATGTCACAACTACATGTTAGGCAGCTCAGACCGACATTGGACACAAGCAATATTCATTCATGTAATAAAGTGAAGTTCAGATATTTATAATGCAGTTACTAACACACATTGTTAGTCAATAAGAAGTTGCTTTTTTGTCAGAAATGTCTTACGTGATGCAGCATGACTTTTATTAATGCTAGTGCAAGTCTTATTTAGTCCACATTGTAGATTTACTTAAATAATGTGAATTTAAGTAATTCATTCTGGCTTTGACCTGCAGCAGAAGAATATCTCCTCTTTGTTTTAGAATACCTGACACATTTATTTATTCAAGATAGTTTTGCATGGGTATGCTACATGTTCACATCCAGAGATATTGACATAAGGTCAACACAGACTTGCACTAGGATTATGTTTTATTGACCTAATGAAAGTTATCGAGTCAAGAGTATGTTAATATCCTGTATTCAGGTATCTTACAGTCGAAATGTAAACTTAATTGTGTAATTAAAAAGACACCATTTAAACAGCTGTGAGATTGTTCTTTAAAAGCAAAACATGGATAAAAGCAAAAATATGGCTCTTAAATAATGAAAGATTACGAGTTAAAAACAACAGCAAAATCATAGTCTACCCTTATTGATGAAGCAATAATTACAACAACTTTCAGATAGTGTTTTTAAATTATTAGAATTTCTTTAATTGACATTGGAAAAAAACGAGGTACTGTGTCTAAGTCACAACGAAAAGTAAGCCTTATGACAACACAATAAGATGGAAACAAAAAAACACACATTTTGGTTGCAGAAAAAAGGATAAAAGGAAAGTCATTTAGGACAACCTCTTGTATAATCCTATGCAGTGTTTTGACCGCGGTCCCGCTGAGGACAATCAGCTGTATTTTATGTACAGATCTGAGGAGTGTTTTCGAGGAGAGAGCACTGACAGCAATGGGTTCAGTCCTCGAGCAACATGAGGAAACAGCTGGAAGTGGAGTTAAGACGAGTAGTTACCACCAGATGCAAAATATCCTCCCTCTTTGTGAACGGCTGAGACAGATAGATGAAAACAATATTGTAGAAATGCAAACTAACTACGTACGCTACTATAAGATTCCACTACATTGATTTCACCTACCAAAAGTCACAAAGGATTTGAAAGATAATTCATGAGCCCCTTTCCTTGTTTTAGTTTTTAATATCCTTCATTACCTCTCAATAATATTTCAGTCATATGTTCATGGAATGTGTTTAAACATTTATATGGATAATAGTCCACAGACAAGTGCTTAAAAGAAAAATAAACAGACACTCAGCACCCTTTTTTGACCAAGCGAATAAGCTTTCAGCTCTGCATCCACGTTTTTCATTCTTACATGCTTTCAGGAGGGAAGGAAACAACTGAATACAGAAGCTAAACATTAACACCAACAGTTACTCCTTTCAGAGACCTACAGGGAAATAAATAGTGTCACTTCAATGACCGTAAAACTGTACGCCGTCAGTTTCAGGAACAACAACCTCACAGCTCCTCTCAGGGTGTTTAAGCATGATGCTGAGGCTCCACTATTAGTCAGATATGCTCATGAGATGTGTGAACGGGGGGGGGGGGAGGAAGTGTGAGGGAGAGCCCAGAGAGAAGCTACATGACAGTGGTGGACTGTGAAGGGGGGAGGGGGGTTTGTAGTGATGAGGTTCGGGGGTTTGTTTCCTTCTCTGTTCTCCCCTCTATGCCTCCAGCTCGAAGCCCATCCCCACTTTGTGTCCGCCGGCGTTGAAGTTCTTCCCGTCGATCAGAGCGGAGAGGGTGACCTTCACACCTGCACACGCACAAACGTAAGACTTTAAGATGTTTTTACGAACAATTACGATGCAGTATAATATCTGTTTGCCTACTGGGTCTTAGCGCATTTCCATTGCAGCGCGTAGCTCGCTTTAAGCGTGCCGTGTCGTGCCGTCCCCTTTTTTGGTTGTGCTTCCACTAGGCCTCGTTCCGGCGCGGCACGGCGCGGGGCCACTTTTTCCCCTCTTTTCTGGCCCTAGAAAATTGTGGTTCTATCGGGGCCAACAAACAGGGCTGAGTCGGGCTGAGTATGCTAAACTAGAGAGAGGAGTGCTGGCAAGAGGGCTAGAACTACAACAAGATGGACATATTTGACCGTGATTTAATTGTAATACACGTTTCAAAATGATGCCGAAGTAACAACATACTGATACCGGTTGGTAAAAACCATGAATTAATGCTTTGTCAAGTCTGCAGACAGACGGCAGGCGAAAAACCTTTTAAAATTCGTGTTTTTCTAGATGGAGATTGGCTAAGCTAACGCAGTATATGCCCCGACCGTCCACACTCACAACAACGGCCTATACAGACATAAATAAAGCAGCGACTGTATTCACCATGACACAGGCAGTCTGTGGTTTGTACTTGTTTAACTTTTGTCGAGTTTCTGAACATATATAAGGAGCTGTGAGCTCTGAGTGCTCACAGCTAACGGCTGTGTTGTGTTTCTGGAGTTCTCAATGAAGATGACTTCACGGCTCCGCCTACACTGCGTTACTATAGTAACTACCCCAGTTCCTAAACTGTAATGGAAGCGCAGCATGAAGTGAGTCGGCCCTGTTAAGGCCCAACGCGGCCAAGCCGTACCGAGCCGTACCGAGTGTGGCCGAGGCCGACCGTGTAGTGGAAATGCGCCATTACTGTCAAAGTACTCAGATCTTTCACTTTAGTAAAAGTAGCAATACCACATTGTAAAATCCTGCTATAAAGTTAAAAGTACAAAAGTATTAGCATAAAAATATATTTGAAGTACTGATCTTGCAGAATAGTCCTTTTCATGAAAGTTTACTATATTTTATTATTGGATTATTTATATGAATGCATTTATACGTACAGCACTTTTATGCATCAGATAGTGAATGTATTGATTACTTTCATCCAGCTGGGTATCTTAAGAATATATATAAATTACATTTTAACATTAATAAAGCCTTTTAATATCAATGAATAATATCATCATTTATCTGTTGAGAATAATTGTATTGTTTATCAGTATATGGAAAGTCATTTAAGTTTAATGAACTATTAATTGGTACCCTCTGAAATGTAGTGGAAAATTGTACTTGAATCATTTATTTAAATGTATTTCCATCAATGACAAAGTATGTGTAAAATGAGCTATTCAAAGACATCACCATGGAAAACTAGGATGACATTTTACACTACTTTCTGACCCAAAGAGAATAACTTGTAAAATAGTTTGGAAAGTAATCAAATATATCATGAAATATAGAGACAGCCCTACAAAGCTACAGGGCCAACCCTTCTCTTATCTCAGGAGATTATCTCAGATATTTGAGGTAGATATTGAAGTGTGTTACCTGGCCGAAGGCTCTGGGTGTAGCCGACTCCGATCAGACTGGCATTGTTGACTTTGGCCTGCGGGGTGAAACATGATGAGTCATGAAACAGAACAGCACATTTGTTTGGGATCATTTATCTTTCACAACAGAGCTGTGACCCAGCACTTACCGACAGAGAGGCGTCTTTGTCCAGCTTGTATTTGGCGGCGATGCCAAAGCGAGTGTTGTTGCTGCCGGCGGTCCAGGCCAGAGTGACCGCTGTCTCCAGGTCGTCGTTCACCTTCTGGAAGATGGAGCCGCCGAACTCCGTCCCGTCGTTACTGAGAGACGAGATCCAGAGACGGATAGTGAGATTTGTTCAGAGTGTAATCCTGCAGACCCCTAACTCATCTGGAACGTTAGAGTTTGTCATCTTGGCTATCATATGTCATACAGTGGTGCAGAATTTTAAATGAGCACTGATGTTGCACTCGTCTACTAAAAGGAGCTGGAACATATTTCTACAAACTATTATTTCATAGTGATTAAATCCCCTCGTCTTTGGTTGCCTTGACCTTTTTACAATTGTTAGACATCGATTTGTTTTAACCATAAAAAAGGGAGAAAAAATACTAACTATTACTACTTAAAAAATATTTTTCAGAATCGAGGCAGCATCCAAAATACTTCATCCTACATTTCCTACAACGTAACTTATTATAAGTCTTTCAAAAATGTTTGTCATGAATGCTTTCTGCAAAGGTGTGTCTCCTAAGCTAAAAAACAGATGAGGATGGATTTGAGGTGTAGCCTCCTGGAGTACTCACACGTTGGTGTGCAGCTGGAAGTCTCCGGCCTTGTATCCCAGGGCGAAGTTGTTCTGGGCCAGTTTGGACTTGGCCGTGTCGAAGGCCATCTGGTAGCCGGCCAGCCAGCCCTCGTAGCCGAGCACCGCTGCGGCGTGGATGATGGGACCCTCGAAGTCCACGTCACAGCCCATGTTCACAAACTCACGCTTGTAGGCCGTCTTCAGCTTTCCACTCTTCTTACTGAAACAGGCAATCATAGGGTTAAATGCTTATCTCTAATATCCATTGTATATGTAATACATGTTCCTTCATCCCCTTATGGTTTATGATCCCACATACACCATCCTCTCCCCAAATACTGACTAGAGTACCAAATGTGGATTAATACGCCCCTGAAAGTAGTCCCCAAAAATTACTATTATGGCCCTGTTTGTTTGATACAAACTA